CTAGCTGTTAGAACGCTGGCCTTGTAATCCTGGGGTCTCGGGTTCGATTCCCGGCGGTGCCCGAATTTATAACTTTTGTTGGGCAAGGCCGTGGTCTAGGCAACACGGCGTTTTCCTCCGTGGCATCCCAACAATTACTCTATTCACACACAGAAGCAGGCAATGGCAAACCACTTCTGGATCATCTGCCAAGAACGTATATGAACAGGTCCCAGTCCGAGAAAAGGATGGAAGGATCCTGTTCATATGGACCTGTCCTCAGACAGAACACTAAATAATAAAATAAATATATAACAAAGAACACGCCACAGAAGTCCTTAACGCAAGATCTGAGGTTATCACGGCGGTGACAATGTTGTAGCGGGATCCTGGAAAAGAGGACGATGACTGATATTAATCACCGACAGACACGGTACATGCGTAGTTATCGCACTGACAGAGTTGCAGAACTCTTAACAGTGAAGTTTCAGCTGTTTAACAGTTGTGGACAACAGATAAATAGGATGACCGCCATCTTTGAGTCCTTGTATATATAACCAGACCGCCACGGTGGTCTAGCGGTTAGAACGCTGACCTTGTAATCCTGGGGTCTCGGGTTCGAATTTATAACTTATGTTGGGCAAGGCCGTGGTCTAGGCAACACGGAGTTTTCCTCCGTGGCATCCCAACAATTACTCCATTCACACACAGAAGAAGGCAATGGCAAACCACTTCTGGATCATCTGCCAAGAACGTATATGAACAGGTCCCAGTCCGAGAAAAGGATGGAAGGATCCTGTTCATATGGACCTGTCCTCAGACAGAACACTAAATAATAAAATAAATATATAACAAAGAACACGCCACAGAAGTCCTTAACGCAAGATCTGAGGTTATCACGGCGGTGACAATGTTGATGGTGTAACTTGGTGGGTTGTGGCGCCGTGTGGACTGTCGGTAGATGCTGATGTTTCATAGAAGCGTGCTGTCTCCATCTTCAGGGCTTTTCCGAAACGTTAGCATCCACCGGCCAGTTAACATGACGGCAATACACAGTAGGCCATCATTATCCCTAATGCAGTGGAGTACAGCCTTCCTTCAGAATCTAACAGTCGCTCAGCTGTTGTGAAATTCGAAAGTCCACTACAGTGCGCACTAATAACCATCACGAGCCACCCGAATCCCCTCCACACACATCCATTTTAATGTCACCCTTCGGTCTGTGCTACGTCTCATAACTGATCTCCCATTTATAATCTCTCCTGCTTGATTTATCATACGAATACACAGAGATATTGTCTGTCTATTAATGCAGTCAGAACGTGCTGGATTGCAAACATTAATGTGTGTTTCAATATGGATTACTCGAATTTTCCAAACAGCATTTAGTCAGTGCACTGAGGAGGAACTCTTTAAACAGGGAACTTAATTGACGCGAAACCAACGTTGATGGGGAGTGAAAGGAGGAACGTCTTAGTTCAAGGGACGTTGCTCTGTAGTTGTTAGTGGTTCCATTATCACCCAAAGCATCTCTGAAACGTCGGTACTTTATACCAGACAAAAAGTAAAGTAAAGTTATACGCCATGTTTCGCTTGGGGGGAGAGCAGGTATAGCTCCTACTCATTCCTAACCTACACACTAGATGGGGGGGGTTGAGTGGTCAGCGTCACGCCCCGGCCGGCTTTACTCCCGGAAAAGGACCCCGTTACCCATTGTAGAGGAGGCTGGGTGGGTCCCAGAGGCTAGAGGACAAATCCTCTGCCCCCGTCGGGGATCGAACCCCCAGTCGTCCAGCCCGTAGCTAGTCACTATACTGACTGAGGTTTCCCGGCTCATTTATACCAGGCAAAACGGCGTAATAACACATAACAGCCATCTTTTTTAAGTCCATAGACTCTCAACAGAACGGAAATAAATGTTTTACCTGCTTATTCGTGATTCTCGAAGCTCCACCACGTCCTTGCTTCTAGCAACGACGTTGTTGTCATCTTGAACGCAGTTACGTAACAGCCTGTCATTTTCAGACGACTCCCTGTCTGCAGTCACATTCAGACATTTTACGTCATCCTCATTTATCTTCGCCTCACACTGCGGACGCCCTCGAACTCCCGTCATTTTAACCAGCAGCGTCGAATTTTCGAACGACATTTTGGCTACGGCGTCATTCAGACATTTTATACTCTCCGCCATTTTGGTCTTCTCGCTGTCCTGCTGATGTGCCAGCTCGGCCGTTTTAACCTGCAACGTCGCATTTTCCAACGACATTTTGGCTACGGCGTCATTCAGACCTTCAATGGTTTCCGCCATTTTGTTATTCTCACTGTCCTGCTGATGTGCCAGCTCAACCAATTTAACCAGGAGCGTCGAATTTTCAGAAACGATATTTTCAGCAATCTCATTCAGTCCTTCAATAGTTTCCTCAATTTTCCTCATGTCATCGTGGCGCTGCTGTATCAGTTCCGCCATTTTAACTTTCAGTTTCGCAATCTCAGTCTTCAAGGCGTTGTGTTCGTTCACTGTCTCAAGTCTCTCATCGACATGTTCGTAATTCTCTGATCGATTTACTAACATTTCTCTTTCCGAACTGACTTTATCGATGCCTCGTAGCTTCTGAAGAACTGTCATGATATCTGATTTATCCTCAAATGAACTGCACTGTTTCTCCTCCGTCTGATGTTCTTTGCTTTGGAAAGACGTCACAGGGAGATGTTCCTCGATCATTTGTTTTGATGACATCGCATCAGTCTGCTTTCCTTCCTTGGACCTGCAGTCAAGAAGTTTTATACAATTACTGATTAATTGAATTGAATTATTATTAAATCTATTCACCTTGTCCCTCAGGCACACAGTGCAGCAGCTATTTCCGAAATACATTTTGTTTTTAATACGTGTTACATGTATTATATACTTTTATTGTGAGAAATATATTTTACATCAGCATCTTTAATAATGTAATAATAATAAAAGGTTGAGGTAATGGGATTTACAAAATATTTTGCTTTTCGATAGGTTATTTAATTATTACATTAACAGTGAACACACGTAATAGAATTACGTGATGTTCGTAAAGAACAGAGTAAGTTATTTAAATACGAATCACACAATAAGATTATTAAACTAACTACACTAATAAAATTTTTTTTAAAAAAACATGAAGTATGTAATACATAGGCATTATTCAGGATATTAATACAGCATTTTAAAGCATCTTATGCATGTGCGTTATTGAACATAACCTTTCAAGCTTAATTTACGAAACACGAAAATCTTACATTTCTGATTTTATCTTTTGGGGAGGAGGCACTGGGCACTCATGAGTTTTTTTTGTATTTTGGAGCAGAAAGAATGTAATCATTTCCTCCGGGTCACATCCTTAGACACATTGGCGTATAATTATTTTGGACATCCCTTAGTCCTATCTCCCCCCCCCAAATGTTTAATAAACTGAAGACTACCCTCTTATATAACAACTTTACATCAAGTGAAGTGAGGTTTTTGATGCGAGCGTCTGGTTTCCGAAAATTTTATTTAATGTAGAATTTGAATTTAATTCGGTGTAATATCTTTAATGGAAATTACAGTGGACAGAATTTTTCATAGAAAAACATGTTCGAGACACTAATGGAATATAAATCCTGTAAGTCCAGTCGCCGCGAAAAATAGATGCGATATTATTTAAAATGTCAATAGGACAAACGTATAGGATATTATTAAAAAAAATTACTTTTTTTAATTTTATATTGCGGAGTACTTAAAATTATGCCATTAAATTTTCACTGCCGTCTTGGGCATGACTTGAAAACACCAGCAGAATTCGTAATTGCGGATCACACAGTTAATTAAGATTTAATCTTTTGTTAAGTTTATTGAATGACGCAATTAACTGCCCCATTTCAGCCCTCACGAGAGGCACGTTTAAAAAAAACTTTAGTCAGTAGAGATACCAGGTATTTTCCGAAGACATCTCAGTAACGACGTCATTCTAAAATTTGATTTTAATATGAATTACTCGAATAGTGAGGTGACGCGTTCTCCATGTGATCGCAGACACAAATTATTGGAGTAGTTTGACTTAAAACTCCAAATACATTCAGTACACGTGAGCCAATAACCGAAGCAATTGATTCATCTCGTGTGCGTAACTTTGAGTCTGGCTCTCAGTAACAGCGAACTTTACAGACCTGGCGTTGGTGTTCCCGCGGCCCTGGGACGTCTGGTTTTCCTCGTTACGTCTTAAACTATTCTGGAAAGGAGAAGATACGATGGGCCCATTAGACACTGGCAAATCTCGTGTTTAGATCTAAACTTGTGGTGCATAGAAAATAATCAAATATTGAATAATCCTTATCCTGTAATTTCATTAGCAACGTGAATTTGTTATTTGTTAAAAATAATATATTTTCATTTGAGAACTCTTTCCAACGCTGTTATCATAGAATAGTATAGAATCTATCTAAATCACATAGATTCTTCATAGGAATAGACCAAGGATATAGAACATGTCACAATACAAATAAAATACAAGTAGATTAAATGCAAAGTTCCACCAGCGACGTAAAGAGATATTTGACATAATGAGTTTTTACAGAAAAGTAATTACGTCAAGGAATGAACATATTTTTAATAGCTGTCAATATTTAAGGCATTCTGGGAAACCTCCTTTCGCCGCATTTGAGGAAATCTGTTGGTATTCCGCCATAACCACACAAATCTTTGATTTGAGAGAATTTATTATATTTTTAATTTCAATTGCTGTTGTTGGTATAAGATTTGGATTCCGAAAGGCTTTAGGATTAGCAACTTCTATCGAGTTCCTGGTGTCATTATTCATTATTTCTACGACTGTTACGAAATAAGTAGTTGAAGATTCTGATATGTGTTTAGATTATTATTTATCTTTATTGATGGGGTCTTCTTCTGTAGAAGATTCACCCGTTTCCATTTTCAAAATTTTCCAAACTGTCCTTGTCATATTATCATATTTCAGTATCTGTTGTAATGCATACGTTTGGCTCCTTTAATTAACTGAGTTACGAAATCTTTCCTGTCATGTTGATACTAGATCGAAATTTTTATTGAAGGTTCTCTGTTTATGTTTACAAGACGTTTCGATGCCTTTCATAATCCATTCATTAATATCAAACCCACTTAATTCTGCTGTGGTGGGAAAACTTGTTTCATATCTTTTTAAGAAGATGTTTCGGAATTTGTTAAATTTTAACTTTACATCTTGGTTGTTAAATACTAATTCCGTTTTCATTACTTAGATGTGTCAGAAATTCCTTAATAGCGTTATTATTTACCGAGGTCTTTCGTAACAGCACAGTTCTTTTACGGTGAAAGGTTGATAGCCTCACCCCCAACCCCCAAGCTCGAGGACCACCCCTCGTCGGCTTTTTCAATATATTCTCAGCAAACCTCCATAAATGGAGGATGCTCCGCCATCTGCAACCCGAGGACGCGCCGTGCCGTGGTGACAACGACATCAGCTGTTGGCATTTGCTGATGATGTTAATTTATTGGGGGACGATATGAATACAATAAAGAGGAACGCAGAAGTTTTACTAGAGGCTAGTGGACAGGTGGGGCTAGAAGGAAATTCAGAAATCACCAAGTACATGTTAGTATCTCGTCGTCAGAAGAATTATCTTAGGGTAGCTAATAAGTCCTTTGAAAGGGTTACAAAGTTCAAATATTTGGGAACAACAATAACAAATCAAAATGATACTCATGAGGAAGTTAGAAGGAGATTAAATTCCGGAAATGCTTGCTACTTCTCAGTTCAAA